ACCCGTTTTTTCTTAACGTCTGTCTGGCCCTTCAAATAGGATAGATTTTGTTACAACTTGTGTGCATTAATTCGAGTTGTGGTGGCGTGGTAAATCACAAATATTAAACTTTTATGATTTAGTGTTGCAAATATTTGAAATAAAACAAAAAGTCACAAAAAAATCAGTTAAGTTGGAAGACAATAACACTCTTTGGTGTGAATTTGCCATCATTAGTCAACTCATTTGGTTTGGCGGTGTTTGTGGATGGGTTACAAAAATTCCCATATTGACCTTTTTTGTATATACCTATATCATTAAAACCAAATGCAAAGAGACCCGAGCTGTTATGAGAATAAAGCTTAAATTCATAATCGGTGTTAATGACACTCTTCCCAAACTTTTTCGGATTTAAAGTACCGCTTCTCACAAGTGAAAAGATGTAAGAACTGCCACTGTTAATCCATTTACTAACATCGTTAATATTTCCAGTAAATACACCACCAAACTTGTTATGATTTGTGTCTTCTATTAGAAAGCACAAATTGCATTTATTGATGACTTTTTCAAAAAATACCGAATTGGTTTGTGACCAATTGTCTTTGTTGGAATCAAACAAAACACTTGTAATTTTCTTTCCTGTCAACTTCTCAACACTAACCTCTTCTTCAATTGTAACGTGTTCACGCTTCGTTATTTCTTCTTTTTGTTTTTTGTTGTGTTGTCTTTTGGAATTTATGAATTTCTCTGATTTGATAATTTGATTAATGTGTTTGTTCTGTGTTTGTACAATTTTGTTGATTTGGTCTGTGTCTTTGAGTGGTTTTATATCTATTTTGCATTTTTCTTCAATAAGTGAAATTCTGACTTTGTATATCTCATACAAACTCTCATTGTTATTGTTTGTTGTGTTTTCTAAATCAATGACAATTGTGTTTAACATATTTGTAATTATTTTTATTCTTTCAAATACTTCGTCAAGTTTGTCGAAGTGTCCCTCTGCATTTTCAATGCGTTGTGCTATATCAAGTGACTTGTCGTCAACAAAAACGTATTCTTTTCTTGTTTTTTTGAGGTCTGACATTACCTTTGCTACGTTTGTGCAAAGTGCTGAGAGTGCCATCAACTCGTTTTCCATTGTTTGTTAATGTAATTTTATTATTTCATTTCGTATAAATCTCAATTAAATTGTTTTTTTCAATCAAAAATGAAATTATTAATATTTAACTGTTATAAAATGATATATAATTTTGAACAAAAATATTTTGAAATATCCAATTAAGCTCAAAATTGCATAAATATATATATAAAGGTTTGTTTATTTATATTCAAACAATAATTACAATAAAAAGAAAACCGGGAAAATATTTGGGATGGTTCTCGATTTCAAGTAATGCTGAAAATTCACATAGAGTCAGTGTATACCAAGTGAGACGGAGCACTAAAAATAAAATTCATAAAGAAGCATCCGAACAGTTTGTTTGTGCACCCGTTCCACAGACTCTCCATGTCCTTTTTTGGTGTGGATCCCCCAATCCCTTCCTTGTAAACGGGGAAACCGAACCCTTGTTTACACAGTACAGACAACGTAAGTGGGTGACATGGGGACGCACAAACACTCACTGAGAATTGAATTTAAAAAAACACTCGCGGCAAATATTGTTTTTGTTAAGGTGATGTTAGTCAATGTAGGTTCCAAAACACAAAAACTAAAATACTTAAATATATTGTTTTTATAAATCCATGACAAATTGTTATAAAAAAGTTAAACAATAAATTTAAATGAAATACATAATTAATTAATAACTCAGACATTTATATAAATATTTGATTATTCATTTTGATCGTTGATATTCACAAATAACCATTTTTATGGTAAAAATAAGACTTTTCCCTTTTGATATCTTCTGTCGTTTAGTACTAACATTGGGCAGTTTTTAATGACAACATTGACGCCTTTAATTTTGCCACCAATCCATTTCAAGTTTTTGCATGACTGCAAGTGGATCTTTTTAATAAAACCATTTAACATGATATTATCAAGAAAGTCGCAACTTTTGACAACGAGTTCGATAACGTTAGGATCACACACAATTTTAATGCATTTTGCCCAATAAATTTTTTCTTTTCTTTTCGTTGCTGTAAACACGTTTTTACCAAGTTGTTCAATTCTTGTATTAAAGCCGACTATTTGAGTGTT